TTCAAATACTTTTAATAAACCAGTTTTAATTATATATATAGTAATATATATTCAGTATAAATTTTGCTTTTAAAATTTGACACCCGAATTCTGAACGAATTAAGATTCGCCCAGAATTTGGGTGTTGAATTTTCATATTTTAGCCGAAGGTTATTAGTAATCAACTGCCAATTATAAGTCGATTTATTATATTATTTGACCACCAATTAAAATGGCCGATTCGGCCTGAACTCGACTGTCAATTAATTAGCAGAATTTATACTGAATATTTTTAGCAATCGACTGTTAATTAACTACTGATTTTGACTTGTCATTCAGTATAAAATCAGCCAATAATCGACAGTCGAGTTCAGGCCGAATCGGCCATTTTAATCAGTGGTCAATTTTCTTATATTTGACTAGTATATGTAATTATATTTTTTTTATTTTTTATTTATTATTATTTATTATTTGTTATTATTATTTATTTATTTATTTATTTATCATTTTTTTATTTTAATTTTTATTATTTTACATAATATTATTATTTTATTTATTATACTAACTTAATTAAAATTAAACATTAAAATTATTTAGGAGTCATGAATACTCAGTATTGTTCTATGCATAAATCAATTCCTTATAAATTAGTATTTGGACAGCTTTCCTACTGCAATACTAATTTAGTTGATATATTAGAAAGTGAAGAGTCATTAAATAATAATACTCTAATATCTGAAGACTCCTAATCAACTATTGTTTCTAAAATTAGCAGTGAAATAATAGAATCAGAATTTTCAAGTGATATAGAACAAGATCAAGAAAATTATAATAATGTAGATATTGATAAAACACATGATATCTATAATGCAAATGAAATATGTAGTGATAATGATAGTATACAAGATATTGATGATAATAGTATACAAGAAATTTATAATAATTTATTATCATTATATTGTTCTAAAATTGAAGAGATTTCTAAAAATATACTAGAACAAAGAATTACTGAAATTATCAATTCAGATGATGATTTTGAAATTGGAGAGTATTCTAAGAATACAGTTCCAGAAATTATTGAAATAATCGATTCTAATAATGATTCAAGTGAAAATTAATGTTACACTTTACAAGAAAAAAAAAGTGGCAAGCTTAATCTGAAGAAATTAAGGTTAGTTAAATTACTGTATTAACAAAAATAAATAAACAAATAAAAAAACTAACTGCCTTTTATTGATTAAGCTATTCGTAGATTATATGACATATCTGTTTGAGAAGTGACTGACTCACTATTTTGCTCGTTCACTAGCCATTTTGCAAAAAAATAGTGCTATTTTAGATGCTGCAAAAAATTCAAAGAACTCTGAGTCCAGCTAATTAGAGCTCTGCACATGCCTATTGCCAGGCATATTAGGCTTCATGCCAAGCACTAATGCCTATGGCATGCCTGTGCTATAGCCACAAAAGTGCCAGTCTAAAAAAGTGCCATGTCTAAGAAAGTGCTAGACACTTTGGTGCTATGTCTAAGAAATTGTCTGGCACTTGTATAATAACATCTGGCACTTTAAGTCTGGCTACATGTCTAGTAATTTTAAGCCAAAAACGAAAGCAGGCACAAAGTACCTATAGGCACAAAAATGCCAGGCATTTTTATGCCAAAAAAAAATACCTGTGCCCTTGCTCGTACCAGCTAATTAATGAACAATAATTAGTTTGTCATATGTCTCAATTTCTATTTAAACTCTAAAGAATTACTGTATATCGCAAGATTTTTCTTTAACCCAGTTACTATATAGCATCATTGTAATCTTACTTCCTTTAAAATCAACTTGTACTCTTAACTGGTTCAATTTTAATAGCACTTTATACAGTATTGTTTCAGATTTTTATTTTTATTAATATTCCCACAGTAAGCTGATAAGCTTGTCTTATTCTGCGCATATAATTTTTTTGAAACATTTATTATGGAACTGTGTGCATATATCATTCTATTTATCAGCATTATCTATTCAATAGTCTATGCAGTCTCTGCATACCCTAAGACATTAAATAAGTATCTTTCTAAGACACTACTGTTCAGTCCTCCTGATTGTTAAAGATGGTGAATACTTTTATTAAGAATATTATAGAATAAATTAAGGCCATAGAAACTTGATAAATTGGTTCTCATATCAAAAATTTTAAAAATGACCTGGAAATCTGGTTTTTAATTTATTTTCAAATTTATTTTTATATAAAATACACATAAAAATTTTCATAATTTTTTTTGAAAATTCACTCAGATAGTAAATTTTTTTCTTCAAGTTTTGTAAAATTTGACCTGACCAGTTGAGAAAGAACTTTTCCTAATTATCGGAAAAGAATGAAATTATTAACAAAATAACACTAGTTTGTGTAAATAATATGCAAATAACTAATTAAATATGTAGCTTTCACTCATCATAATAAAAAAGTAAGCTTTTTTAACTATTAATAAACTATCATAATATAATGTCCCTAATGATACTTATATAAATTTGCAGGTTAAATTCAATACATTATAAAATGTCATCTTCTTCTGTCACAGTTTTCTCTTGTGCAAGAGAATTTCTGAAGGTTTTTACTAATAATGAAGAAAGTGTTTAAATATACAGTAAACCCTTCATAAGTGCACACCCTCGGGATCAAACTTTAATAACATGCACTTAGAGAACAATAAGAAAAGGTGCATTTATAGAGGTCATGTGTATATTTGGCCCAAATTTAAGCATGCATTTAGAGAGTTATGTACATATAGAGGGTGCACTTATGGAGGTTTTACTTTAGTATTTATTGTAGTATGTGTTAATCTAATAATCCAAATATTAATAGAATAAAATAGAATAATTGATGTTAGCATGTAAAAATTTTCAATTCATTACACTGGTCTTAAATTATTTATTTATTGCATATATCATCTTTTAATTAGTACAATGATGATGTTTTAATTTATCGCACATTGACTTACCAATCAATTGCTGCATTCTTTATTTTACCCTACTTATAACCTCTATCTTTTTTTTATTTACTTTTATTTCCTAGCATGCAAAGCCTGTATTTTATCTACCATTATCTTTAGTTTTTTTTATCTGTATCTAAACCTGAAAACCAATAAACTGATGCACTCCCAATTTAATGTAACACTGATGATGATGTTCTATGAATCTCGTTTCCATGTTTGTCTTATCATTAAATGTTATTTGCCTTCCATATCTTCTGTATTGGTATTGTCAGAGTCATGTAAATCTTATTTTTAATAGTCATTAATAGTATTAGCCATTCTTAAGGGCTTAACCAATTACACCATTTACATCATTAACACCAGTGATTAGCAAAATAATTTCATTATTTCATAATTCTATTTAATTTCATTAATACCTTTATATTTAAATAACTGATTATTCTATCAATTATTTGACAAAAAGTAAAGTATGAATCAAGAATATCTGATCCTAACTGAAAAAAATCAAGAAGAATTAAAGAAGGATGCAAAAATTCATGAACTTTGGATAAAAAATATTTATGATCATGGTAAACATGCAAAATTTAAGATTAAAGAAATTTATCACTTCATTATTGTGGAAGCTAGTACTGTGGGATGTGTGCTTACCAGAGAATTGATTCATGGTATTCCAAATGTTAATATTCTAGTATTGGAAGCTAGAGAACCTGATGTTCATTTCAATAGTTTAATTAACTTGCTATGTACTTGGTTTAAGGTGACAATCCTCTTACACCAAAACCTTTTATTAAATTATATTGACATTATTATTTAGATTTATCACTCTATTTATGTAATAAAGGCCTTCCAAATGAATGATTATAACTGGGGATATATGGGTGTAGCGACCTAGTAAAGTGGATAGGTTGTCAACCCTCAAGTGGCAGGTCTAAGGTTCAATTTCCACAGACGATGAATTTTGGAAATTATATCTGTGTTACAGTAACTGTCTCTTGCCGATTGGTTAGGTTTTGGACATCTGTAATCTTAGGTACACCAAGTCGGGTCCCATCTAACATTGGGAGCTTGGGGCATCTATGTGAAGTGTAACATTACACAGTACATGTATATAGAGGAATGTAAAACCGGTGTCATATAAGGCTTCAGGCAAACCCATGATAAGACTACTGGTTGTAGAAGGTAAGAAACCGAAGAGACAGAAACTCACTTGGAAATCTTGAGTAAAGAGGTAGCACAAACTTTTGATGATGCCATTGGACTGATGGAAGCCTATGAAACACCTTCATA